GAATTAGGCTTATATATACATTTAAATTGCAATACAGTACATATAGACTAATATAATCTTTTTTAATTAATTTAAATTTTAGAAAATGAAGTTTTAAATCTAATTGCATCTGATACTGAGACACGCTGGAACAGCACCTTTTTTTTATTAGAAAGGCTTAAGTATTTTCATAATACACTTTCTGTATTTGCAGAAAAACTATTTCGGGACTCTAATCGAACTACTCGTATTGATGGTGAACCATTAATAAAATTAATACCAAGCTCAGATAATTGGGCTGCACTAGAGGAATTGTTATTATTGCTTCAACCATTTGTTGATGCAACAAACCTTACTTCAGGTAATACATACCCGACTCTTTCATTATGGTACCCAACTTTATTTTGTTTAAAAGAATTTTTACAAAACACTAAACGTAATATATCAAGCCATCAAATAATAGTAGTATGTGATAGCATACTAGCCTCTTTAAATAAACGCTGGGAAATTCTAGGTGAACTGGGTTGCATTGCTAGTTTTTTAGGTCTGAGATTTAAGTACTTAAATTTTTTAAAGGCAGAACAAATTGAAAATATAAAATGTAGTTTAAAAAGACAAATTGAATTACTCGAACCTCCTTCACAACCAAATTTAATTTCTTCAACTATATCTATTACTTCAACTACTTCTGATCATTCTATGTTTATAGATTATTTTAATCAAAATTTATCATTACAACATATTACATCTCCAATAGATATAGAAATATCCTTGTATTTACAACTTTCTCCACTCCTTGTTTTACCCACAAATCATCCCCAATATCATTTTAATAATCCTTTACACTGGTGGCATGAAAGAAAAGCCACCTTTCCCTTATTGTACAAACAAGCCTGTAAATATTTATCTATACCTGCTACGTCTGTTCCATCTGAATGGCTCTTTTCTGATGCAGGTAATATTATTACTGACAAAAGAAACCATTTAAGCCCTAGTACTGTTCATGATCTCCTGTTTTTAAAAGAAAATAACGATATAGTTCTCTTTTTTTAAAATAATCACAATATATTAAATATATTATGAAATAGTTAGAAAAATAAGGATATCAGATTATTGAAAGAATTTCAACTTAAGGATCACAAAATATTAAGATGTAATTTCTTTTAATAAAAGATTGAAAAGAATTTAGATTCATGATGTAAAAGAACAGTTTCAGATAGTATAGTAAATACGCACAATCGTGCTTAAAAATAGAAAGAAATTGTTTTAAACTTCGAAAACATTAATAATAAAAAAAAATTATATAGTTAATTCTATATTATAGCATCTTAAAGCTTATTATCTGCGCAGTTGCGAATTGCTTAGTCAGAGTACACAGTTTATGAATTAAATAATTTGAAAGATATTGTTTAATAATAATAATAATAGGTACAGTATTTGCAATGTAGGTTCCATTAAATCATCGTGAGCAATTAGTTTAAAAGAAACGTTTGGTAAATGTGAACTTGAACTGCTGATTTGAAATTTTCATTTAATGATCTTTATACTCGTCACCAAATCAGCATAAACAATCGGCACGAACTTAATGGATGAGAGATATTATCTGAAGGCAGATATTT